TCTCTCTCTCTCTCTCTCTCTCTCTTCTTTTGAAGATGTTTACCCCAGGATAAATGAAACTCGGTGCAGTTTTTCTCTTTAGGTTAACAAGATTTTATTGTCATTCAAATGCTACTACTGAGTTTCTGTTTCTCGTCTTGAAAAACCGATGCTCTTTTCTCACGAATGCTTAGCAGTTTCCAGAAAAATGTCTTGTCATAGAACTAAAAAATGTAAGTCTTTACAGAGGTGTTGGGCACATGTGTCCGACAGCAGATCAAAGACAATGTTTTGCCAAGTTTCAAACTATGTTACACAAATCAGAACTACGAATTTGCATATTACATAGTGCGCCTATTTCAGGTTGCTTGTCCTAGTTTAATATAGAGAGAGAAGGATAGAAAAATCCGTCCGTGTGATTAAGGAAGTGTTACCACTTTTTAAAAGTAAAACGTTTTCCCAAGCAGTGCGTTAAAAGAGTTACTTTTTGACAACCCACATTTTGGTTATAATACAATGGCAGTACACAAAAAGAATTGAGTTCAAGTCCCATACGAGGAACGCATAATTTTATAGATTGTCCTAGTCTTCCTTCTGTAGTGCATCCTGATAAGGCACTCTGCCTCCCAAGTACTTTAACCCTATCCGTACGTCGAGTTTTTCTATCGTATCCATAAGACGTGGGGAACGTGCCACCACTTTCCAAAGAGGAAATTTACTCGTTCATCCGATCCGTACGATTTGCATAGCTCTAGCAAAAAGTTTATTTTAAAGAAATACTGACAATTTCGAAGAGATCTTCACACTAGAAGTATAAAAAATTGTGAAGAATACATCCCCTGGGTTGCAAAATGACCACAGGGCGTACGGATAGGGTTAAATAGTGTCGATTTTCTACCAAACGTTTTCAACAATATACGAAAAAAAGACCCTTGAAAGTTGCACAGTTTCGGTTTCTCCACTACCCATCCGTTTTGACAAATGCGAGGCAGCGTGGTGGAATCAGGCTCTCGTCAAAATAATCAAAGTGAAGAAACTTGCATTTTTCCGGAGGTTTGCGAATTTTTATCAACATTTTGTTTTTTGGCTCAACACCTTTCCTGCCCATTAAAGAACTCATGTCTTTGTGGATTTTTCTGAAAAACGTTGACTAAAGGCACAAAAAAATGTAAATTTTCAGTTACCACGGACTCTTAAGCTAAGAATATAACTACTCTTTGCCGGCCATTTTCTCATTAATTTTACCTCTGAAAACAAGTGACCCCCACCTCCTTCATTTGCAAATATCTCGACTTGTATTCAAGATAGATGGATATTTTGTCAACCAAATAAAGACAAGTGAACAAGCTTTAAGATGATACCTATAACTCTACATGCCCAAAAATTGACGAGCTGCCTCACAAATGTTCAAGAAGGCGTAACAGTTGATGAGCATGGGTCTGCTTATTTCAATAAACAACAAATGTGACTGTTTTATACCCTCCCCCCCCCCACCCCCCAAAAAAATCTAAGTTCTTCAGTTTTGGGAAATTTAAAAGTACAAATTTTTATTTTACAACATTTCCTTTTCTTACCCCCACCCCCTCCCCCGCGACCAACTCTCTCTCATCACCACCATTCTACGAACACAAACACCTTCACACACACACACACACACACACACACACACACGAACACGAACACGAACACAAACAAACAAACAAACAAACAAACAAACAAACAGGTGAGCGGCGAGTCAGCAGGCGGCATCGACACGTCAGTTCTGACCCTCAGCTCCCAGGCTCGGAGTCTGTTTGCCCGCGCATTCTCCATGAGTGGAGCTACGGGAGTGGACCATCCTATGGTTCTGGCTAGGGAGCCTGTGACGATGGCGGAACTGTTGGCCAGGTGATTACGTGGGATAGTATGGGGTGGGACTAGATGGGATGGGATGAGGTCAGACCAGATGGGGTGGGGTGGGATGGGATGGGACCAGATGGGATCGGATGGGGTGGGGTGGGACGAGATGGGATGGGGTGGGACGAGATGGGATGGGGTGGGACGAGATGGGATGGAACGAAATGGGATGGGATAAGACGATTTTGGAAAGGATGAGACGAGTTGGGACCAGAAGGGATGGGATGAAATTGGATGGGACAGGACAGAAAAAGATTTCATGAGATTTGATAGGAAGATGATGCTATGGATTTAACGCCCACTGTAACATTACAGGAAGGCTATTGAAGAGAGAGACCGAGCAACCGAGTTTATAATCTGTCTCCGACAGGATGAGATGAGATGAGGTCAGACCAGACAATGATTATTATCTTTTGAATGAAAAAAGTGAGATTTGTACTTATTTTGTGTTATTGTAAGTGACCAGATTATTATTGTCAGATTGCACAAGTGAATGGGGTTTTTTTTTTATAGAAGAGGGTTTTACGGTGTTCGCAACTGCATATGGCCATATGAGCGCCAACAAGTGACTGTAATAATTTTATTTTCTGTGTACAGAGGTGACCATACAAGTTTCTGCTCGTTGCAATGGTTTAATTTATGTTTGCAGACGTGAGCTAGCTTGTTTCTACACGTTATCTGGTCCAATATTAGAAAGAACTAACTGTATTGCCGCCTCATTTCAGAGGCAACTTCACCGTTGTAAAGTGAAGTGTCTGTATTGTTTTCTGTTTATAGACTTGATCTTATTTCTGCTTAGAGACACACTATAGTTCTTTATGTTTTACAGACGTGGTCCTAAATTTTCTTTGTATCACAACGCAGTGAAATCAGGCGCTCGTCAGTTTTGGGGATAATATAGTTTTTGATATCATCATAAAGCTTGTTAGTTTACCTTTCTTTGGATGGAAAAAAAAACCATCAATCGTGAATAGAAGTTAAGATACTTGGAGTTGAAGGAAGCGAGGGTCGCCCCGAAGTCAGAAGTAAAATTAGGAAGAAAATGGTCATCAGATTTGGTGATTTTCAAAGCTTGAGTGTCCTTGGAAACTATAAATTAACATAATTTTTATTTGTGCCTTTCATCAACGTGTTTTTCTTTTCAAATAAAATTCATGCATGGAATATGTTTTTAAATTGATATAAAGGATGTTGAGTCAAAAAAATGTAAAATTTCGATTTTAAAAATTGACCAAAAAATCGAAAAATAGCCATCTCTTCGATTGTATTATTCTGACAAGCGTCTAATCCAGGCGTTACCTAATTTCTATTTATAGAAGTGACTATTGCTGTCTGCTTCCAGACGTGAGCAGTGTCTGGGCGAGACTGACCCAGTTCCCGAGACGGACGAGCAGTGGGCGCCGGTGGTAGAGTGTCTGAGGAAAGTGCCAGAGGACAGGTTCGGGTCCCTGGAAGGTCTTGGAGAAATGCCATTTATGGGACCTGTGGTAGATGGAGACCTTGTTCCCAAAAGTGTAAGTTGCGTGGGGTATTTCATTACCCTTTTAAACACTGAAATCTGTTTGTGTAAGTACAGCAAAAAAGGGGGGAAAAGCAAATATGTGTGTGTGTGTGTGTGTGTGTGTGTGTGTGTGTGTGTGTGTGTGTGTGTGCCTGGAAGAAGTGCATTTTATTGTATTTTGAGGAACATGTACGACAAACACGGAGAGAGAAGCCAATTATGTCGGGGCTGTGACATCTAGAGTATCGAAATCGCAAAAACCACAGCAACAGCAACATTAATAACAACAATATCAACAATAGCAACAACAGCAACAACACCACAACACCAACAACAGCATCAGCAGAAACAGTAACGGCGGCAAATTAAACTTATAGCTTCTTACAGCAAAAAAAAAAAAAGGGTGATTGCCTGGCCTCATCTCCCTTAGCTCAGTGAGAATACGCATTTTGATCGTTCGCAACGCTTTGGGGCAATATAAAAACAAAGTTCTGTATGCATACAGTTTTTGTTTTGTTTTGGGGTTTTTTCAATTCTGTTTTCTTCACCTGAAACCAAACTCTCTCTGTTCCTTGTGCTGCTACATCAGTAACTCTCTATACACGTCTTAACAAAGCGTTGTTAGTTCTTGGTGTTAGAACAAAAACTGTTAAAAGAGCAAGCAATAGCATGCATGATGCGCAGTATCAAGTTCGTGTTTCTGATTAATTTATGAATGACGATTCGGAATGAGGAGCCCTCAGGAAAAACGGGAATAGTGACAGACTGAAAATCGTGAGGATATCAATTATGAACGCTTGTTGACTCATTACTGTATTTCTGTTCAACTGTTGGTTAATTATTGTTGCTAGTTTTCCAATTGAACAAACGTAACAATAAACCACCAGTCAAACAAACATGAAGTTATGAATTTACAAGCTTTTAAAATTGACACCCTCATAAATTCCAGTTTGTGACTGTATTTTTGGGATTCCCGTGGACTCCTTAAATCTGTTGTAACATTACCTTTGGTCTGCTGTTGCTGAGACATAAAGTGTCCACTGTGTCTATCGTAGAAGGGCCAGAATAAGTTGAGAAACTAAAAAGACAAACAGTGAGGTATGTCCGATTCTACAGAAGACAAACTCTGCTGAATAAAATAAAATGTTAAAAAACAAAGTTAAATACAATACCAGAAGAAGAAAAAGATTAACATGGATGGATATAGCAGATTGTGCAACGGCCGATAGCGACCGTGAAGGATGGTGGGTCATTACACGTCAACCTCTCAGTCAGAGATAACACTTACAGATATCCAGGTATGTCCTTAAAGTATTAACTACCTCTCCAGCCTCGTCCTAAACCTCACCGGCGTCTGTGGTGTAAAGGTTAGGCGCTTCACTATCACAGGCAACAGACCAGAGTTTGATTCCCCTAGTTGGGATGCGTACGTTTTCTGAAGTATCTCGGCCTTTCTGCTGGGATGTTGTATCCCTCTCAGTCCGGCTCGGCCCTGACAAACAGGGTCGGAAGCGTGTCACCTAAATAACGTAAATTGTATCGGTGAGAATGTACTCACCTGCATTAGAAAAAATAATACAGCTAAAACAAAACGAACAATAACAACAAATCATCATCATCATCATCATCATCATCATCATCATCATCATCATCATCAATATCATCATCATCATCATCATCATCCTCCTCCTCCTCATCATCATCATCATCTTCATAATAAT